CAAGATTACGCAGAAAAGATGTACCAACGCACTGATTCCTTTTTCTATCTTTATATATTTACTTATTATCAACCTTATTTAAACTTTAATTTACTTCAATTTAATATACTTTTTTTTTTCTTTTTCGTTTATTTTTTATTTTTTTATTTTATTTTATTTATTTCTTTATTCTTTGCTTATCATGAAATAACTTTAACTTTAATTATTATCAATTAACTGCAGTTATAATTGTCAGTTCATTTGTTTGCTTTAGTTTTTTTAAGATTTGAATACTTATTGTAAATCTTCTTATAAAAGAGATTCAATAAATAAAATAGATATTTAAATATTTAAAAAAAGAAGCAAAGGTTCATGAATCAGATTTCATACTTGGTCACGAAATACCAAATAAAAAAATTGATAAAGATTTCAATACATTCGGTCGTGAATTCTTAAAAACTAAATTTAAAATGGATTTAAATAAAATAAGAAAAATTAAATTGTGAATTTATAATTGAAATCAGAAATTGTAATTAAATATATTAAATTTAAAGATAAACTTAAAATAAATAAACTATGAATTTATAAACCGAAAGATGAAGTTAAAATAAAAATAAAGTTGTAATAAAATGTAAATGGAATAAATATTAAATAAATTTGATATAAATTAATAAAAATGTAAAGTATCAAAATTATCATTGTAGTTTTCTTTCGATTGAGTTATTTGGAAGCGTGCACTTACCACTAAAATCACTGGCTACAAAAATGTACCAGTACCTTAATTATATTTGGTGAAAAGGATGAAGCCATCTATAATATTTCTATATTCTAAATGTGAATCTAATGACTTTGAGATAATGCATGATGCATTAGTTAACCTATGTTGACAGAAGCGTACAAAAATACGAATATAATATATAATATTATTTATTATACATTCCGTAGAGTTAACTTCTATTTAACAGTTCAGTGGGTTTGGTTCTCTTAAGTCTCCTGTGTTCTCCGTTGCTGTTGACAAGTTTGTTTGATTCCGCATTTCTGCACATTACTTTGTAATGTAGGTCCGAATTTCCATCACTATGAGTATACTGAAATCGCGATAAATTCTATCATTACAGAATGGCATGGACGGAGAGGAGTTAACGTGGTATTTATACCAAAAATGGTAATAGACCAAATGATAACGCTAAATCGTATAGACCGACAAGTCTCTCATCCTTTCTCCTAAAAACTATGGAAAGGCCCATAGATATCTATATTCGAAAAGAATGGTATAAAAATCAACTCCTTCACAAAACTCAATTCACTTACTCCAAAGGAAAATCTACCGAATTAGCTTTGCATAACTTAACCTGCAAAATCGAAAAGGCCCACAAAAACAAAGAAATTGCGCTTAATGCATTTTTGGATATAAAAGTAGCTTTCGACAATACGAGTTATGGTTCGGTTACAAATGCTTAAGTAATAGAAATATTGATTCCGATATTATTTCTTGAACAGGAAAATCTTCAAAACTGGAAAATCACATCACAAAATCATTGAGGCTGCAAAAGGATCCCAACAAGGTGAAGTGTTGTCTCCTTTGCTCTAGTCGGTGGTTGTCGATAAACTTTTAATCTTACTGGAGAGTATTGGTTGTGACACCATCGGGTATGCAGACAACCTAGTCATAATAGTGTCTTCAAAACATGGTAGCAGTCTATCTACGATCTTGGTAGGATACCTTCGACGCATTTTGGCGTGGTGCGAAGATGACGGTTTCCCCATAAATCCAGAAAAAACTGTTCTTGTTCCTTTTACACTTAAATGTAAATTATTTTTATATTACTTTTTGAAGTTGCATCCCACAATTGAATTTCATAAATCCAAATCGGCCTTACAATTGTACAATGTCTCCAAAATATTAAATTTCAACTACTGGACAAATAATAACCATTGATAGAATAAGCATTACCTGATATATGCTACTCGTATAAATTCGACTTATGTTAAATTAATTATCATAAATAATGAAACGAAAAACCTAATGAAGCAATCAGATAGCTTTTTGTTGTTTATAGATTTTATTTACTGGAATCGAATTTTTGAATTTTACCTTTAAAAACTGCATGAATATTTATTTATTTATAATATTATAATATTTATTTGATTTATTTATATGAAATTATAATATTTATTTTATTTTATTTAAAACAAGAAAAAATAAATATTTTCAAATAATATTGGGGTGAAATAAAAAGCCCAAGTAAATCTAATTTTTATAGACCACATCTCAAACTTACTTAGCCTAAAAATATAAAAAGCATTTGAAACAAAAAAATATATACTCTTTTATTTAAATAATTGTTCATATGTCTAAATTTGGTTAATATAGAACCCCATACTTTTTTTTATCACTTAATATGTAAATAAATCAAGAAGCAAATAATAAATAAGAGCAAAGTGAACATGAAATCATTAAATTTACGTTTTATACCTGATGACCTATGAACTTTATTTTCGATTTGTTCGTATTCGTATCTAATCTATTACAAATTCTGTTACATACTCGACAGAGTTATTTTCGCCAAACAGACACAATACCATAAGACAAATTATATTTCTCCATTGTATATAAATAAGTACTCCTTATTAAGGACCATAAAATACACACATTCAATATTAAACAAAAAACATAAAAGGGGCGGATTTGTTGAGATGATTCTGAAGCTTGGCAAATTATAACAATTCCATACCAAATGGCCTGAAATAAGCTATACAAAATTTGCAGCTAACCATTGTCCTTATACAATAATTTCCATTATTTATTGTATTAAGGAAATCTATGAAACAATTGTATTCTACAGCATTTAATTTAAACCTGAATACAACTGCTGTGTAAATGAATGAAAGTATTTGGAAGAACAAAAAAAATATATAAATAAATTTCAATAAAATAAAACAGGAACAAAAAAAGACAAAAAAAAACAAAAGAAAAACAAACCAAAGACAAAAAAAATAAGCAATATACAAAAACAAAACAATATTAAAAAAAAATCAAATAATAAATTACAAAATAAATAAAATAAAAACGAAAATAAAAATATGGAAAAAATAAAAAAAAGAAAAATTAAAAAAAAGAATATAAAATATAACATTAAGATATTTAAAATAAATAATAAATTAAAAAAAAGAATATAAAATTAAGATATTTAAAATAAATAATAAATCAAAACAAAAACACGAAAAAACGGGACATTTGTATTGTATTTCGGCTATAATATTTTAAAACAAAAGACAAAAGACATAATTAAATCCAAAACTTATAATGAAGATAAAATATATAGCTTTTAATAAATTTAAATAAAACTTATATCAAAGTTTTGTAATATTTTTTTTATTTTTAATTTGACTTAAATACGAAAATGTTAAACATTTATTTTTTGTGCTTAATATCAAGAATTTTCAATTTATCTTATAGGTTTTGGTATTTTTTCTATATATTAAGAACTATCTAAAAATATAATTTGATACCAAATAATGCTTCTTCAAATTAAAATTATATATATACAATATACAGTTTTGTTACTTTAAATTACGCTATTTTAATTTGACTTTATTTTGGTGGGTTTACTTTGATTGGTTTAGTTTTCTTCAAATTCAAATTATATATATACAATATACAGTTTGTTACTTTAAATTGCGTTATTTTAATTTGACTTTATTTTGGTGGGTTTATTTTAATTGGTTTAGTTTTTACATTTTTTAAATAATATTATATTAAATATAAAAATAATAAAATTAGTTAATATCTTATATCTAATGTTCTATTTAAATTTTTTTTCAAATTTATTATAGTCATTAATTAACTTTTTTTTTTGGAAAAAAATTTTTTTTCGAAACATAAAATTTCATTGCACATATGTCATTAATAGTATATAATATTCGGCTTAGTATAAAAATACATTGTCATTTTTTTATAATTTTGCCCTGTTTATAAGAGAATTCATTTACTTTGTTATCGCCATAAATAACAACAGTGACGTCGTGGAGATCAAAGAAAGAGTTAGTTAAATGACGTTACGTTCATTTAATACGTAACGGCATATGATTTACTTCAATTGTGACAAAGGATAAGGGTATGTTAAGTTAGTATGTTAATTATGTTAAGTAACATACTGAATTAAGTATGTTCAGTATGTTAAGTCACATTTATTTAATACCATGCCCTTATATATATTTTTATAAATAAGCGTACTTATACCTATATTATATATATATATATATGCAATAACCATTTTATATTTATTTATTTTTTTGTTTAATTTCTTTTTAAGTTGTTTGTTTTTAATTTTTATGCTTAGCTTTTCTTTTAATTTTTCGTTAAAATTATCTACTAAATTTATTAATTTTAATACAATTAATATTTTATATTTATTTCTTTATTTTTTTTTTTTAATTATTTATTTTTAAACTTTTTTTCATTTTTTTCTTCGATTTTATTTATTTATTTATTTTTAATTTTTAAAAAAATTTATTTTTTTTTACATTGGTAAGTCCACAATATTATATATATAATTTTTAACTATTAAATTTATCATAAAAATTGTAAATAAAATATTTTTCATTTTTTGTTTTTATAAAAGTAAGCTTAAAATAATATATAAAATTACAATGATTGTATATAAGTAAATAAGTAAGTAAGATTGCATTTAACTTTTATAAAGTTTGTTTGTTAGTAAAAAAAAAGTGAATTTTGATTTTAACACCTTGTTTTAACCAAACAAAGAAACTTTACAGAATAACAAGTATTTAGTTTAAAAAACAAACGATATATAGAATTCCAAATACAAATTTCTAGCTGAAAAAAAGTCTTGGCCAAATAACGAATGAGTTATTGGAATAAATATGAATAATCTTTAAATAAAAATATGTTTAACTTCTTCTTCAATATGTATTATTTTGGTTACTAGTTTTAGTTATTAATTAATTAAGACTTAAATAAAAACTAAATCAAGTTTTCTTTTGACTCGTCTCTAAGAGCGATTTATTACTAAAGATATCAAACAATTATATATTTATATATTTTAATTTTTACAAATTGTCAAATTATTAACATAAACCTTACGCAGTATTTACAATCAAAAATAATAAACTTAAAAAAAATTCACAAAAGAAAAAGTCAGAAAAACTTTGAGTAGCTTTCTTTGCCACCCTGTATTTCGATTAATATTAAAAGTTAAAATTTTTTCTTGCATACAATTTTTTTCGTTTTTAGAGTCAAGAAATTACCCAGTCTATGTATACCATTTGACAAAAAAAAAATGTAATTTATTTATATATCCAATAATGGATCATCATAATCATCATCAAGTTTATTCTTCGATGCCATTGTGGGATTGAATTCTTCATCCTCTTCAGCTGAATAATACGGAGAATCTTCTTGAAATGATTCTAAGTACTGCTCTTCTTCTGTATCATCATATTCAATATTTATTTTATCTATGTCCTTTAAAAACCAATTGTATTTGATATTTTGCTCTAAAATACGAGGCCACTGCATAAAGACACACTTCAATAGATGTACATATAGATATTGACCACGTAATTTTTGTGTAAAACTTTTAGCATTTATTAAGCCCAAAAAGTTCAAAATTAATGAGTAGCGTTTCCCATTCGCTAATGCAAAGTAAATAAGTGTCTTCTGAGTGACTCTTAGTTGATATGATTCAATATCAAATGCACTTATTTTTAAACATATACGGTGATCTGTTTCATACCAGTAAGTTGTTGGAGCAACATATGAAAATTTTAATTGAGGCATACCTTCAATATCCGTTTCAGTTTCAACCTGGGATTCGGTGTATGATAGATTTTTAACATTTCCTGTTGTTAATGTGGATAAAAATGTTTGTTGATTATTACAGTCTTGAAAATATTGATCGTTTCTTTTGTGGTTAACATAATCAACAGATCTTAGTACATTTTTTTTCGTTTTAAACTTTTTCTTTAAACAATCATCAGACGTTAATTCATTTTTTTTTGTTTTTAAATTTTTTTTTAAACTATTATCAGATTTTAATGCATTTCCATTTGTTTCCGGCTTATCCTTTAAACAATCATCAGAAGATAACGCATTTTCATTTGTTTCTGAATTGTCCTTTAAACAATCATCAGAAGATAATGCATTTCCATTTGTTTCTGAATTGTCCTTTAAACAATCATCAGAAGATAATGCATTTCCGTTTGTTTCTAAATTGTCTGATAAATCAATATTTTTGATTATTTTCAAAAGTTTATCGTAATCACGTGTATCTTCAGTATGCGTCTCATTTTCAAATGATATTGAATAAACCTTACAAAAAATAGGCTTTATTTTAATAAAATCTTCTGCACCATCATCCCATATAGCATTGCCATCAATAACAAGCTTTGCATTATATAAATTCAGTGCTTGCGTATTTTTCAATGTATCAGTTTCGTACAGCAGTATATCATACGAATTTAAACCGAAAACCTGGTTTTTATTTTCTCTTACAGGATATACAAACAGATAAACAGCAGATAGCTCTAAATAATTTTGTGCATTTTCTTTATACTGTAACCCTGCTAAGTTGCAATGGATCGCCTGAAAAGGAGCGTAATTCGTTATTGTTTCTGTAGTCTCAAATAAAAAATCGTCGTAAAGTTTCTCTTCGCTGATTTTTAAAAATCCACCGTAGTCGCATAGGAAAAACGTATGAATAATTTCGAAGTTCTCATCTTCAAAGCTTTCATAATATTTAGCGCGCATATATATATTATCGTTTTTAATGATGCAGTTCTCCTTCGGACACAATAACTTTTTGGGAAACACATACTCTGAATTTTCTTTCAACATTTCAACATGACTTTTTGTTAAATTAACTACACTTTTAAACTGTGTATTGCTAGCTACATCATATAGCTGAACATATATATCAGGCAAAAAACTATTTAATTCATCGGCATATTCAACTTGAATCAAAGTGTTCAGTGGTGCTGCTACCCACGTTTCTCTATGGACCAGCGGAGATTCCTTAAATTAAAGGATTATTATAATTATTACAAATTAACAATGATAACTTATAAATTATGAAAGAAACGGAAAAAAATTATATTTTGCAAATAACAAAAGTATGTTGATTCGAAACATATCACGACAATTACTTGAACTCGCCAGGGGATTCCCGAAATCATGTAATTTTTAGTGAAAATATATATGACATATATATATATGACAAAGTGGTCCTTTTTTTCACACACTCTGTACTATAACGATATACTTTCTACCCCTTTATTACACTGTGTGACATAAATGATTATATTTTGCTTTTTTGATTTTTCAACGAACTTAAGTTAACTTGATCCACTGAGCTCAATTTGCAACCTCGTAAGGATAGAAATTAGCGCCAATTTCTAACCTACATAAATTCAACTACTCAGTACTGCATAATATAGCACTTTGAATAATTCTTGGAGATGCTTGTGCACGACAGACAACAAGAAAACGTTTGTATGTGCGCTTCACAAAAAGCTCGTCTGATTAGTATAAAAGACGACGCATTTTTGGTAATAATGGAGTAAGTCTTTTATGATCACTCAGTGGCACTGTATGTAAAACATAAAATAATAAAATAAAATATTACCTGGCACGAAGGCAGTTTTAAGTCAAAGTGTATAACATATTAAAAATATATAAAAAATGTTAACAAGTGCAAAGGCGGTTTTAAATCGATGTTTTCCCCAAACACGTAAGCAAAAAAACTACAAAACTACAAACTACAAACTACGAACTACAAACTATAAACTATAAACTACAAGATCTAATTGAAGATTACCGAAAACACCAAAACATCAACCGTGTCGTCATCAGCGTGTCATCCGTGTCACCCATTTTATTTTATTTTATTAATTTTTTCTTTATATAGAGTTTTGATGAAGTTTTAAATAAATACTTCTTTAAAATTTAACATAACAATTTTTTTATTTGAGAAGTCTAGTCCTCGCGAATACAAATTTATTACAACGACACTGAATATAGGCTGAGGATACCCCAACAAAATTATAACGAACCGAAAAATCAGTGTCGGTTTCTTTCCAGTCAACTCGATTAATAATAAGTTACATAATAATAATAAGTTACAGTAAATAAATTAAGGTTTTAGAGGGTTAATAAAAATATTTTAATTTAAGTTTACAAATGTCGTAGTTTCAGTAAACTTGTGAATGAAAGTTAAACATTTTGGCCGAATTTTCATTCTTCCCTTCTGTTCCTATTACAAAGGGATCTTCTTGTAAAAAAAACTGCTTTAAGAAGTATTACAAAAATCATAAATTTGAAATTAAAGAAGGGGATATCTAAAGTAAAAATGTTTATGTATTTATTTTAACAAGTTTGCTAAGACAAAATTCGAATTTCGTATCTACATATCAGACTCACTTAAAAATGTCCCTTAACACTGGTTATTACTTTCATTTGAAAGTAACATTTGCAAGTAATAAAATATATTATATTTTATTATTATTATAATACATTCTATAAAATGTATAATAAATTTAAATTTAAATATATTATATATAAAGATATGTCATGATCTATATCTTAAACTTAAGATCTTTGAAAATATTGCAAATACATTTAAATTTAAAGGTTGATTACAACTGGCAAAAGCTAAGAAGTTGAACAGGTAGACTAAATTTGTTATTTTAATCCTATATCACAATTAGGGTATTATTCTATAATCTCATAGATATATATATATAACATATATGAACAAATATACCAAATCTTACACTGAATATAGAAATTTTACTATAAATTTGTGGTGTTTGCTATTTAAAAATCACCTTATCTTCGTCTACTAGGGAGTGATCATATTCATTGATAGCTTTTTCATTAATGTTTGCTTCAAAATGTTGTTTTTCTGTACACTTCGACTCGCTTAGAGCATCTTTGAGTCCAAAATTATTGTATACACTATTATTTGAGAGCAGTTCTTGTTGTGTATTGTTACTATGAACTTGGGTTTCAATATCTTCTTTGACAGTACTTATGTCTTTATATTTATTATCTTGTAAATTTTGCTCTTGTTTAATATCCGCAGTATTTATCAATTCCATTTCTTTGACTTCAGCTACAGAGACTTCTGTTGCCTTTTCCTTTATTAAACCACATTGCAAGGCAATTGCACGTATATCGCTTTGATTTTCAGGTATCGTCATAACAAAGTTATTAGCAACCAAACACTTCTTTAAATTTTCCTTAATAATCCAAGTTCGTGTAGTTTCCAAGTATTCCTGAACGTAAACACTGTCAACCCAAATACAATTAGTTGAAGAAAAATTGATCTTTGCAAAGACTTTATCAGTTTTTACTCTATTCGTAATTAAAACATTCGTAACGAATTTCGTAATATCTCTATGCCAAAAACGCTCATCATTATGCGGTTGCACCCCCAACAAACGTATATCAATAGCTTGTGGTGGAAAGTTAATAAATTCATCTTCACAAATGAAAAGTGAAGTAGATTGAACTGTTGATACTATCCCAATGTCTAAAAATTTCACAGTCACTGAAATATTAGTAAAAATATTTTTATTTTTTATGTTTGGCAAATGAGTTACTTGTACGCGATAAAACACATCAGATAAATCAGTTACACATATATCATTTATAGTTATTGGCCATTTAACTTTTAATCTCGTTTGCATATTATAATGTAAAGTTAGTTTACTTTGAAACGGCCCTGCCATATCAGACTGATGAATCACATTCCATTCCGAAGTGCTTATAGGTCTTAATTCGTTAAGCTGAGCTATATAATGCGTAGGCGAAATTACCTATAAAATTAATTTTTGATTAATAAAAATGCAGTATTATTTGCTTACTTACTTTAAGGATTGTTATACGTAATTCTCCTGTCGTAGGGACCACACTATCCCTGACTATTTCTGAGTCCATAAACTTATGCCGATAATCACAACGGGGTTGATCACAGGTTTCAGTGTTTAACATAAAGGGGCATAACGCTTTTGTCGCTCTGCGAGTTTCTACTATTTCGGCAATCATTTTTTGTATTTGTGCCATATCATCTGCCTGATTTGTGGCATGTTTGTTGATATAATTGAATAAACGTGGCAATTGTAGTTCATTTTCTTCATCTAACAAAACTAGTGAAGCAGTCTTAGGCAAAGATTCGCGAGACTTACATATAAAATCGTCTGCTAATATATTTCTTACATTTCGCAACATTAACAGAAAACGTCTTGTAAAACGTGTCCACGATGAAGGCATTGAATAATGTACAAGATTTACTACATTTTGCAATTCAGGCATCTCGTGTAGAATATCGTCTGTACATATTAATACTGGTGGGCATGATTTCTAAAAAAAAAAAAAATAACTTAATTAGATGATTTTTAAAATACAAATATTTAATGTTTACCAAAAATATATTTTTTTTAAGAATTAGGAAATCAGATTCTAAATCATATGCTAAACAACAAATTTTATTCGCCAACAAAGCATCCTGGACACGTTTCACTTCTTCCGTACAATTACAAATAACTATTGACCGTTGACTTTCGTATGAGTTATCCTCCAAAAATTTCGTTATTCTTTCAATTTTATTTATAGCTCCGCAAATTTTTAAATTGATTTTTGTATGATTATACATCGCTGCTTCTAAGAAGTCTCCAATAATTAATAATGCATCGGTAAAAGTTTGCAGGTATTGAAGAAAAAGTGTTTTCCAAACACGAGAAGTAGCTACAATTTGCAATTCTTTCTTATTACATAGTTTCAACAAATTTTTTTTTACATCTAAAAAATCTTTTTTTGTATCTAACATAACATCAATATCATCCATTACGAAATGCTTTACACGTGCGCCGTCAATTAACGGCACAGTTTTGTTCTCTTCAAGTATAAGTCGTAAACTTGAAGGCGTTCCAACTAATATTGGACAACCATTTATAAGTTTCATTTTTGTTTCCAATAGATTTCTCACACCATATGCGTCAACACACCTGCTTTTTATGCCACATTTCTGCAATAAAAACTCACATACATATATGACGATTTCAATCTCCTCTGCTTTAGATAACATAATAATTGCAATTGGACCAGAATTATTTTTAACTCCTTTGTTTATAATGCGAAAAGCAACTGAATTGCAAATTGCAGGAATGTAACAAAATGTTTTACCTGACCCGGCGCCACTAATGATAAGTGATGAATTACCACGCAATAAATGCGGCCAAGCATATGACTGAATACGAAGAATTTTTTTTAATCCCAATTCTTTAATTCCGTTTAATATTTCCTCCATAAAGGATATATATTCTAATTTTTCTATACTTTTAACCGGAAATTTTGAATGTGCTAATACCAAATGATCAAAAATTTTGAACGAAGTGTGATGAGCGTCATTCGTATTTTTTAAAACTTCTGTTATTTGAATTGACTGTACTGGAGTCGATGAAAACGGTAACTCTCTATAATAAAAAAGGAATAAATTATAATTTTTAATAATTTCTGAAAAGTTTTAAAAATTATTTTAAATTTACTTATCTTCTATATTGAGTTTGTCAAATATTTACAGTAAAAATCACATATTTTTAATTACCCTCCAAAGAAGGATCGATTTTATAATATTAATCGATCGTTTACATAGAGATATTTTTCAATCCAAGCCAAATTCTTTTTTATTAATAAATAAATCACATAAGCTGGTTATGTCACGAAGCTCAAATGTCAAACCAGTCTTAATCTTTCTATGATTTTTTGCTCATATCACACAGGAATCTATTATTTATTTTATTATCACGTTACTATAGAGAACTTGATATTGATAATGGAGAATCAATCAATATTTAAAAGAACTATTTTAAAGAGCACATGCAAACTAAATGACGGGAAGAACGGGAAGAAGATGACTATATATAAGTAACCAACATTTAACTTTTCTGCAAAGTTTCATTTAGTAATATCAAAGAAAAGCGACAGAGCCGTGAAGCTATATGCGAAAACCGACAGGCTGCCCAACTTAACACTATCTAATCTCAGAGTAATCACTAACCGCAGATCTTAGATCTTAAAACAGTCATTAAATAATCACGAAACTTATGACTCGAAATAGGCTCGAGAGTAGTTGAAATAATCAACTAATAGATAAAAGATAGAATTGATCAATGTCATATGAACAAATAGAAAACACAGCTTATACTACGTATTATAGACAATGCAATTAGGGCTAAATCTGAAACGGTGAATTGTGCGAAATATGGCAAGTTTCATAAAATTAATAATAAGAAGATAGAAAAACATAACTCTAATAATCTGTACTACCGAACAATAAAACTAAGAAATTGTGTCCACACAAACTAATTTGATATTACTTTAGAAACTAATACTACTGTTTAAATTATTTAAACAATTTAATATTGAAATTTACCTTGTAGATACTTTTAAATTTTGTTGATTTTGAACCGAACAGTTATATGATTCTTTACTAACATATTCTGTTGTGGATTCCTGCGATATGTTGCTACAAAGTTTATCAGGTACTCTACTTATAGTTGATGAAGCGTCTTGATTTTGACATGAATTTATGGATGAGTTACTACTAATTTCATTTACGTCTGTGTCTTCATTATTTTGTGACTTCAAAGATGAATACTCAATGCAGTCTTCTTTGTCTATATTTTTATTATTCCGAGATTCTGATTGTATTGAGTGCTCAATCACATTAACTATGTCTGTTTTTTCCTCAAAGTATCTATTTTCTATTTTTGCATGGCGCAGAGAATCTCTCTCTCTTTGTTTTTTCACAATTTTTGTTCTTTTGATTATTAATTCCTTTATGCGTTCAACTTCGTCTAAGTCTTGATTCTCATTACAATATCTGTGTAGATTTTCTATTACTTCTATTTTTATATTAAGTTTTTTTAACTCATTAGTTTCTATATTAGTATTATTTATATTAGGCTGCGTTATCCTGTTAATGCTACTATTATGCTATGAATAAATTGATTAACATTTTTAATGGCACAAAATTATTCTAATTATACCCTGCTGGATTTAATGTCCGAGTAAACTTTCCCATTTTTGTTTGATTGCTCCTCGTGTTTAATTATGAGTGCTAGCTACAAATATTAAAACAATAACATCATAGACAAACATTTTTTATAAAAATTGATTATATGTTACTTTTCCTCCACGAGATAGTTTTTTTGCAGAAACATGTCCATGATCTGTTTTCGAAGTCATTTGCGATGGTAATTGAAATTGCTGATTCTGAAATGGAATATATTTCATAAATAATTTTTTTTCTATTTTTTACTATTTTCAACAATAAAATACACTAAAAACTTGATGATATAAATAATTGATGAAATGCTAACACAAAATTAAACATGAATTATTTCACGAGCTTATCTTAGACTTGACTTGTGGTTTACTTGTGTAAATCACAAGCAAAATATAAATTGAGAACGTAATACCATGTTCCCACTGCTGGTATATCAATTTATATTAATCAAATAAAGATTTGAATGTTTCCATTGTTATAAGTTAATTTATGCATATGAAAATGCTTTTATGTGTCAAAAAGATCGGTGAAAGTTCTATTAGAGCTTTTGTTATATCCATCACACATTCAATTAATAAGAACAAAAATTTTATTAAATACTTACTTCCTCAGTGCTTTCGTTTATAGCTCAGCTGTTATTTGTTGACATTTTACATAAAAACATAAATAACATAAATATCATAAATTTCGGTCATTTCTCTTGTAGGAAATTTATATTTAAGGGTTGCACTCGACATTTTTGATATAATTTTCCTTACTCTTCCTTATTTTTAAATAATTTAAAAAGCATGAAGACTACTTATGGTGTATGGTTAACGAAATTTACTTGTACCATGTTTCCACTGTTTACTTAGTAAGTTACTTAAGTGACTTTAGAATTTTATCGTTTCTATTGACTTCAATTATTTATTGCATGTGAATGCACTTTTATGTCAGAGAGTTCTTTGAATACGTTATAGATTTAAAATATATATATATATATATATATATTTATATATATATATTCAATTAATAAAAATAAAGGTTTTATTAAAGCTTATTTTCTCAGTATGTTTGTTAGCAGTTCAGCTGTTGATTGTTTACATTGTTTGTTTGGTCTAATTTACGTTACTCTATTTTCAAGTAAGTTAAAATGCACGGAAGCTGTTTGTATAGTTAATGAAAGGTACTTAATAAGATACACTTATTAAGTAATCAGTGGAAACATACTTTTTCTATATTGAAACAATACTGCATTAACACAACAAATTAATTTTTTTTTACTGCCATATCTACGAATAATCCCAACAAATAACATTTTTTACAATTAAGTTAGAAATACCAGTCTTCTTTGTTGCATTGAATAGAAATCACGTCCACTAAAATCGAATTTGTCATCCAGTGCCACTCGTGCATCTTCTGATAAACTGACCTCGTGCACACGCCTTTCAAAATCACTGAGCAACTCCTCGTCATTATATTCATCCATTATAAAAATTCTATTTAATACAAAAAACATTTCATTAAAATATTCATCTAAGCATTTAAAATTTCAGGTTTACATACACAGTTTTATGAACGCACTTAGTGAAATATTTTCGTAAATTTATCAATCAGCTGTATAACAGCACTATTTACATCAGCAATATGTATGACAGCTCAAAATGCAATAATCAGCAGCGCAATTTCTTCAACCAAACGTTTAACCAATATTGTTGCAATAATAAATATTTGTGTAAACTTTATCGATCAACTGTGTCGCTATCAAAAAATTATAAAATAAAATGACAAAATTAAGACAAAAGTCTAAACTATAAACTATTTACAAAGATATTTGGCGAACACATTATAGTTGCGCTTTATTCGGGGTCACCAATTATAGTTACTGCTGTTTCGCTATATATAATATTAGGCGTTTTCTTTTGTAAGCAAATCACAAAAGAACAACCGCTTATTTTAAAAATAACATATGAAACAACAACACTGCTCGCTTATTTAGTCCAACCTTTTTGAAACCGCTTAACTAATAAGCAGCTCAAATTGCATGGTTGCCAAGACTAAAAACTCTATTGTGAACGATATTTGGAAGTACATATGAAATTTTAAGTTCACTGTCAACGAACGATTTCGTTAATTTTTTGTATTTCGTGTTATCATTGTTTGTAACAAATACATCATTTCTTTTATTTATTATTTTACAGTTAGAAGGCATAAAAATTCATATTTTAATCATAATGTAGAAAGAAAAATGTTCTTACCAATAATTGGAAAGTATTATTAATCATTTTTGAAATTTTAACTTTAAATTTTACTACGCGTTTTGCATATGTAAGCCTAACAAATTTTCCGTTTTGTCCAGAGTTGCCATCAAAAGTAATGCTTATTTTATTTGTTCTTTTGCGACATGCTTACAAAAGAAAAGGCCTATTATAGTTATTGCTGCTATATAATATCAAATAAAATAACAATATGCTCTTTTATGAAAAACACTTGTTTTAGTTTTACTTCTTTATTTCTCAATTAACACAACAATAATAATACAATTACAAAAACGTTACGTTAGGTGTTTTTTTTTGTTTGTCAATTTAATATGATTCTGGCTGTTTGCCTTTTGGCAACAGATGGCCATGCGAAGACAACAAATTATAAATGACACCCACAGCCACACCATTAACCACCGCAATGCCGCAACATGGATGCAGGCAAAGAAGAAACTTGAAACAAATCAGCAACTTGAATACAAGCAGGACGTAGAAACATCCAGCATAATTAAATTGCCACCGATTTTACAGTCAGATCCAGAATTATGGTTTGCACAAATAAAGAGATTTTTACACGAGCATCGGATCACTGCAAATGTGTAAAAGTGTTACACAAATATGTAACTTTGAAAAAGGATTTAGTAAACAGATGTGGTGACTCGAAACAAAAGCAGCTTATGAAAATATTGACCAACTTAGAATCATCAAAGAAACGGCCATCGTAACTACTCAACGAAATGAGAAACGTAGCCGGTTCTAATGTTTCTGAGGAAGCATTGACAGCGCTCTGACTACAACGAATACCCAGTGTATTTGTCTGCAAGTAATGTAGTCCGAACAGCTACACAACAGCAAACTACCAACAAATTCACAAGTAAGCCATCAGATTACAACAGAGTGCCAATCGAGTGCAGAAAAGCCATGAAGATACTCTGGCGGGAAATTAACAGCCATTCGTAATGAATTTCGCACAATACTGGAGCAAGAGATTGTCAAACAGCTCATGACTGAGCCCAGTCCATCTTGTTAAAAACAAGACAGTTGGATAAATGGCATGTGGTGATCACCGTGAGCTGAACTCCAACACAAAACCCGACCATTATCCAATACCGTACATCGAACAAGTATCAGAACGACTTCATGGAAATGCAATATTCTTTAAGATTGACATTAATCGAGCCTATTATAACATTCCAATGAACCCGGAAGATATTTGCAAAATTGCAGTCAGCACTTTAGTGCGAAAGTTTGAATTTGTCGTAATGCCATTTGGGCTAAAAAACGCAACTTACACGTTTTAACGCCACATGGACACAATCTTCCGAGCCACACCATTCGTTTTTTGTTACTTGGACGATGTTTTGACTTTCTCCAAGGGCGCAACCATCATGAGCAGCATTTAGACATTGTGTTACATAAACTTCAGCAAACTAAAACTTCGGTAAAGCTCAAATCAATGATGAAGAGGTGGAGCAAATAATTTAGTCCAATTCATCGTTGCTACTGAAAAAGCTACGGCTACAATAAAATTTGTACACATACTGCGATATCACAACTGGGCGCATAAAACCATTCATCCCCAAATTTCTGAGAAGAAACGTATTTAACCTGGTACACTCGTTATCGCATCCAAGTGCCCAAGCTATATTACATCAATTAACGTCAAATGTTCTTTCCAGAAACAGACCAACGTTTTGATCACGTTCACATTGACCTGATCACTCTTCCAGAATACCAAAGTTATAGGAACGCTCTGACAATGATCGATAGATTCCTTACCATCCAGCAGCAAACGGCATGATAAAGCTATTCCATCGTACGCTGAAAACAACTCTCATGGCCAGGCCCGAACAGACATGGTTGCAGTTATTTCCATCAGTTCTACTGGGCTTGAGGTCTACTAGTTTATAACACCGTTTTACGACTACCTTGTGAATTTTTTGTCGACAACAGCACACCACTCATTCAGAAAAGGTTCTTGAACCAATTTCGTAGAGGATTGCAACAAATAAGGCCTCACCTCAGCATCGCATCACTTAAAACAGCCAGTTTTGTTCACAAAGGTTTAAAAGACTACACTAATATCTTCTTATGTGTTGATAATATAAGAAGACCACTTGAGCCGCCATACACAGGTCCGCATAAAGTTATCAAAAGGATAAGTCAACGGATTTTCAAAACTCTAGTGGGTAGCAAACAGCTAAACGTTTCACTACAAAAGCTGAAACCAGTGTTCCTCGCAGTAAACATTGAACAGGCAACCGAACCGTCATTCTTAGAGGTATTAATCAATTCAATCGCAACGACAGCACCAGCAATAGGGTACGCAAAGTAACTTTTACCAAGAAAGACCCTTTGAAGGAAATAATCCCAGCCTCAGTAACACAAAACAATCAACAGTAAATAGCCTTCGGCGCTTATTGAAGGGGGAGTACTGTGGCGGACACATTAACCAGCGCATTGACATCTGGCGAATTGTAAAAACCAAAGTACAAACAGCAACTAACTAATGGTCCAACGTCCAATGGTATTTAGCGCATCTTACCAAAAGCAAGAGAAAAAAACATTAATTACGTGTAAAACAAAAAAATGCTCGCAAAATTATAAACATTTACAACAATTATTTAAAAGTGTTTTTTTTAATTAATACAGAAATACTGCAGATATTTTTGTAAATGACTCGCTTGTGTTGAAATGAGACTCTGTATTGACAATAAATAAGTTTATGTGACAAATTTTTTCGCCCATACAACTCGTGGAGTAACATTAGCATGACTTTCTCAGTATAACGGAATACTTTCTCAGATATAAACAGAAAAATGTGCGAACATAAAAGTCAAACACGGCTTAGGGTCGGTTGGTTAAGGAGGGCTGACTCTGAGCTTTAAATTTGGCAGGACACAATTTTGATTCCTGGTTCTTGCAGTCTCAAAAAATTATTTACGAATAATTAAATACAAGAATTATTTCCAAGACCACTGATGATGGGTGGTCAGTATTTCACAATACTCGAGTCAGCTGTATGTTCAGTCAAAAATTCAATTTTGTTAAATAATATAAAAATAATTTTTGTTGTTGTAGTTCAGTACCGTTCGAAAAACCTCTTTGTAAAATTTTAATGTAAACTTATCAAGTTTGTGTAAAGGATTTTTCATACAGGATTTGACACACAACTTCTGTCTGCATAAAGCTAATCTTTGTAAACAGTTGAAGGTTCCACAGATGCACATTTGCTTGCGACCGCCCTAAAATTGACAATTGTCAAAAAACAAACTACAGTAGGATTTATATATCTATCCGTCACGATCAAGACAGATGTGCAATTTATATTGTAACAAATCTCCTTTGTCGGTACACAAACATTTTGTACAAATTTTATGCCACAAATATATTTTTAAATTTTACTACGCAAATTCCAAAAAACTGCAGAAACCGTAATTCACAAATTCTGCCATATCAAGCAGTGTAATTTTATATTTACCATATTAATTCACTAAATATGTGTTTGTTTAAAACAACATGTTCTGAAATAGGTGCTCCCAATTTAAGAAAAAAGCCTATTTTAACTTACGAAACTGTAATTATAAATGTATTGTTATTCACGCGGTATTTAATAATTTCTGAAATGTTTTTTGTTATGACAGCTCGCGAAACAAATATAGCGTTGCCAACTTCGGTTTATTTTTAAATGTTGATAAAATTGACTCTTTCTGGCTGTGCCGTAAATGCATGTTATGTAGATTATCACATCAGTATTGCCTATTTCGTATTTTTGCAATAGTTTGGTACTTTTTCGTTGTGCCTAAATTGATAAGGAAATGTAGATATGCTCGCTTACAATTTGACACCAAAAATAGCTAGCAAAAAAAAAATTATACAGGCTGTAATAATGTTAATTTATTTTTATAATATCTTATAATAATTTATAGTATCTCAGTAATTACAAAATTATACGTCTTTCCTTAAAATTGGAAAGTGTAATTGTTAGTAATCCATGAAAGGCATTAATAAATGCAACCCTGCATGCAGAGCAAATTTGTAATGACAGCTCAACAAATGTCAAGTAAGTCAGTCGTCTACATTGTGCCGCTGTAGCAACATTAACTTTTTAACATCATCACGCAACGCCATAAACCACATAAACACAACACACATAAAATACACATCAATTATATTAAATAAAATATTACATAAAACTGAAACTATTGCCTAACAGTAATAATTAAATTATTTGCGGTTTATAAAATAGGCTGTGTTGCTTACTGTTATTTTTTCTCCAAGACGTGTTCTGAAATACGCCGGCTCTTATGCCGGAATTTAAACCGACATATTTTTCCCTTAATCTCAATTTTATAATTTGCATTGAAAACAACAACAATTTTAATTATGCCGTGCCCAAGATACTCTAGATAACATGACCCTAATACTACGTTTTCTCTGCTTACTTAGTAAGTCATATCGTAATATTGAGCTTATTGTCGTTTACATTAGCACAAGTTACTTAAGACATGGAAAACATTTTTATGTGTCAAAAGTTTCTAGTTATAGAGCTTTTCTTTGTTTACATTTTAATTATAAACAGCTGATATAAATTTTGTATTGTTAAAAGAAAATAATTAGATAAAGAAAATAATGAGAAATGATCGTAAAAGATTATATTGTTTTAATTTCAAAAAGTGATGACATAATAAAAATTTCAATTATTGACCATTTTACCTAACCTGTTGGGAAAAGTTGTACACTTTATGTAACCTTTTTAACCTTTTCCATTGAAGAAGATTTTCCTCAGTTCTTTTAAAAAAATTCTTACCTCTTGTTTGTTTTAATTTTTTAATTGTTTATGTTTACATTCAAATTTCGATCATTTACAATGTTGCATTCGTCATTTTTGGTATACTTTTAATGGAATTTTGTTAAACATGCTATATTTTAAAGTAAGTAAACGTAAGTAAACAGTAGAAACGTATTATTAACCGTGGTTCAACACACTATGAGGTGGATTTTCTTTGCTAATGCGAAACAGATCACATGTAAAAGTAATCAACAACGCATCATAAATGTCAACTGTGTTTGTTTACAAAGTTTTGTTTTGATTTGTGTGCATAATTTTGGCTCTAAAAGAATAATTGAAAAAATTTTATATATAAAAAAGAAATATAGAATATGCTAAAATGTCGGTATTTTTTTATTATTTACTTTAAAACTTAACTGCTGTAGTAAATGCTGTAGTAAATAAATTAAAATTGCTGATTTTAATAGAATCGTCCAGCGAAAGTAAATTTGCATACTAGTCTCTTAAGCGCTATGGATGAAGGCATGGAAATATTAGGAATTTCATTCAAATTTTCATTTCAAATTTTCATAATAATTATTCATTTTAAAAATAAAACGCTATATTTTTTCGCCAAACTCCATATTTTCATTTCTTGTCGCACAAAAACAAAACAATTTCAGTCCGATCACCAAATGCTTGACTTAAAAAAATGCAAAGCAATTACTTAAAGTTTTGCATCAGCTAATATACAATTGGTACTCACGCTTTCCCTTATTTTACCTCGGCACTAAAAATCAAATACATTGTTTTCCATTAGAAAAAAATGAGCAGCTTCGATTTCTTACAACCTTTAAACATTTCTTTTAATTTTATTGAATTGAATTGTCTTTTAATTTTTATGTTTTGTCCAATATATTAACATATATAAAATAATTTTAGTACAATAATATGGATTTTATATGCATTGATTGGATCTGCTACTTTGGTATTATTTTTTAAATGAAATATTAAATAATCTTTTGCAATTATTTTACAACTATTATTATTAAAATTATTGCTGTCTCTTCTATACAATATTATAACATGTTAAACACGCTACGATTGAAGTAAAAATGCTAAACTATTTAATAATAGAACCGGTTACTTAATTGCAATTTTCTACAACACTTGTGACATGGGCAAACGTCAGAAATGTGTTCTTGTTGAAAATTGTTTTTCTGTTCGTAGTATTTCTTTATAAATAAAGTTTTAGCAATCGCAAATTGTAGAAAATTACAAAAATTCTACTAAAAAATGAAATTATAAACCTAGTTATTTTATTAACGTAGGGATATCATAATAAAATTCTAAGCAATTAAATTCATATGCATATAACTTTGGTGCTACAAATCTAATTAGAAACTTTTTATTGGCCCTAAATTTTTATTACACACAAAATGGGACAAGTAAAGGAGTTGCATTTGTGCAAAAATCTAAACGACCTGGAGCAGTATTTCAAAATTCCTAATATAACAAATAAGTCAAAAATGAAAAGGTTTGTAAACCGATATCTTTATTACTGGGTGACTAATAGCAAACGTAAATATTTATATATTATATCTAACATTTGTAGTCTCATAGAGTCAGCGCATAAACTTTTACAAAACGGGAATAAACATTACCAGGAGGGGGATGAAGAATATGCCTATATATATTATATGCGATATTTTAACTTGCTGAGCACTTTGCGCAAAATGCCCACCTATACGGAGTACAAGATGTCCATACAAAAAACTCTCGGAGGAAATACAGCGAACGCAATAATAATGGATAAATTGGAAGAAATGACTAAATCACTTAGTGAACGTTACGATCGCTTGAATGAAAAAAAAAATGTACCACCACCACTCACCGACGATGATATGAAATTTTATAATAATTTAAGCGCTTCAGATAAATTTAATGTGGTTAAAGCATCACCAAGCTATGAGCAGATAGGCGATGCACTTAAATTGATATCATGTAAACAATTATTTCAGCTAATGCAAACAAATACTGTACTTATAATGGATTGTCGTTGTGTTGACGATTACAAGGTATCACATCTAAACTATAATTTTTCTTTTAATATACCAGAAGAAATAATATTACCAGGGTAAGTACGAAATTAAATAAATGTTACTAAAAAAAAACTATTGAAAATTCTATATATGTATTTATTAAAGGTTATCGGCAGGAAAACTACAAGATAAATTGGACAACGAATCGAAGAAATTTTGGTCGGCACGTTCTATAAAAGATCAAGTAGTACTTATGGATTGGAACTGTAGAGAAGCAACTCCAAATAAAACCAAATCTATTGCTGTATTACAGGATATACTGCAAAATGTAACTATTTTATTAATTAACAAAAATTTATATTATGCGAACAAAAGTTCTTTAAGTTTATACTCTACACAACGTATGATTTAATTGTTTTTGTGCTCTTTTTTATTTGTAAACACTGTAGCAATATCATATTTAGAGAGACTTCTCTGAGAAGCTTTTAGTTGAATACCCATAGCTCTGTATAGTTAAACTATTCAGAATAGTTGAATAGTTAAACTATGATTCCAGGAGCAGTCGGTCCTACCTTCTAGAGCCTTTCGTCTAACCCGACGACCAACTGCTGGTCACTACTCTCCATGAGTCCAATCATCTATTTATAGTATTGTATTAGGCGTAAATGAAGCATTTATTCATTTGTGATTTTATTTTTGTGATGTTATTTACTTATGTGTATTTATAAGTAACAGTTAGTGCTTCAAAGTGTGAATATGACGAAGCAGCTTGCAGCTCGAATATACATAAATTAAACCATTGTTTACCACTCGAACAGCAAATTTGCTTTATGTTTTTATTATTTTTTATATATTTGTTTATATATAACACTCATATGGTGTACAATAATGCTCGAGCGACTCACTGTGTTCACCGAATGTTTGAGCAAAAACAAACAAGAACATCACAATAGAATTTGTAGTTCTAGTATATATGGCATGACTCATATTAAAAGATCTAAAATGCAGAGGGAGGGTGACTCTCTGCATCAACTAGGATAGTCAATTTTTAATATATAGGTATAATAGATCTATATAAAATAAATAATCTAAATCCCTCAAGAAATGTTTATAATAAAACCAGGTTTTCATCTCTTTTTTTTTTTGACGATTTTTAGGGTCTTGTATTTTGAGACTATCTCCCATTAAAAAAATTTGTTTCCCTATGATTGTTATATAAACTGAGAACTTATTTATTTTATAAGAGAAACATATATAACAAAATTTAACTTTTTTAGAAGTTTTTATTATTTTTATTAGTTTATTATAGTTATTTATAACAAACTATAATAAATAATTTTACATAATAAATTTATACAGTCAAACTTCCATAACTCGAAATACTGTTATGCAAAAAAGATTTCGATTTATGGATACTTGGAATAAAAGAATTGTAGGTAACTTGCTCTCTAAACCCTGTTGCACTCAAATTAGTTCGAGTTATAGAAGTTAGAATTATGGAAGTTTGACTGTATATATAAAAATATATTTTTTTTATATTTTATTTTTAACGTCAAGGCGAAAAAACTATTTCGTTAATATAAACTATAGTTTTTAGTAGAAAGATTTTTTTGACAGTAGTGAATTGCAACAACACATTTTATTATTTTTAATTATTTGAATTTTTGGCTAACCATACAGCTGCTTCGAATATTACAAAATGCTAATCATCAGTGGTCTTTTTGGAATTATTTTAATTATAATTAATTTTATTATTTTAATTCATTTCCAAAAAAAAAACTGATAATAAGTATTTGGCAGTAGTCAAAACAGAAGTAGGTGTCGGGTCAAACAGAAATTCAATTAATTAAAAATAGTGTTGTTGTAATTCACTACTATTCGAAAAACCTGTCTATTTTTTTATATATGAATGATTTTCATTTTTTTTTTATATACATACTATTATTATTTTTTTATGTATATTATTTTTATTTATATATATATAATTATTATATTTCTTTTAGTGGGACCCCGATTGCATTTATCGTTCTCCAATAAAAATAGTCGATGGCGGCTATGAATTTTTTATAATGATGTATCCAACTCTATGTACAAATCCTACTGTACAATCACCACATCATAATCAACAAAATAATGATATGATAGATGATATTGAATATCCTTCCATACACGATATTACAATGAAAGACGATATGCGTCCATTTTCACGAAGTCCCTTAAATTTTAACCAATATACCAACTCGGTTGTCTCAACAAATCAAGAGCGTCCGTTCATTGATCGTAGCAGTAAAACAGCAGCGCTAAAAACTTATAATGAGAAACAAAAAGCAATTGTAGAAATTATGAAAGAACATGATGAACTTGTAGAAAAGGCTCAAGCAAATGATGAACAGTTAGAGCAGGCTCAACAAAAATGGAATACAGTAACAAATGTAAACAAATTATCAACAGCAGAACAACAACTTTTATATAATATATGGCAATTAGAGAGTGCTGCTGAAGACTATGTGAGTATTGTATGCAACAGGTTAATTTAAAAATGTAATGATATATGGTATAAAAATTATTTTTAATCAATTTAAAAATACTCTTATTAATCATTAACATTATATCGTTTTATCATCCTATTATATGCAACATTTTTAAAAATTTTTAAATTTCTTTAGCGAATTGAAAATAACCGACTAAGAGATGAGCTTGAAAACTACAAACGACTTGATAGAGAAACAGAAAAGGCACCTGCAATTGAAAATGAAAAAATAGAGGAAGTTACCAAAAAAATTGAGACCAAAATACAAGAACGTCAGAAAGTTGATGAACAACATGAACGTGAAAAGAAACAGCGTGAAACACAATTGGCTATTGCACGGGAAAATAAAAGACATATGAAACCACCGGTTTTAGAAGATGAAGAGATGTCACAACCAAAAATACCCCAGTTTGATCGTTCGGTCAAGCCAATAATCCCCAACAACATAATAGAGACAATACATGCGGAAAAAAGAAGAGATTTTTCACCAATACCTGGTTCAATGGTAGCTATTTTTATGTCACATTTCTTTTATTATATTTCAAAAATAGAAAGACTAAATTTAGTATAATCGTAGCTTGTCTGATAGATATATGTGAAAATCTGAAAACAAAAAAGTCACATACTTTTTCAGATTTCCAGGTCGTACACACGTCATCCATGCTACCCGTTCGTTGTTTATAAATAAAAATATAAATTCTAACAAACCAGTAATCAATATTTGTTCAGTCAAAGAACGCCATTTTGGGCTAAAGTAGTCAATAAACTTTTTTGTTACTAGTTCTTAAAAACGTGACTATTGCTTATTTACATTCTTCTTCATATATATACAAAGCACATGCTTTTATTTTTGCAATATCTTTCAGAACGAACAGTAAAAACCCTAATAACAAAATAATTTGCTAAAGAAATGTTTTCAATTTCTTTAAATAGTTCCTCTCATTGTTTCTAATTATAGACATTATAGACTACGTAAAGATCTGTACTGGACTTTAAGTGCTAAAAACAATTTTGTGTATTTTGCTGTACTGCAGTACCTACCTACTCTACCCTTACTAACACACTATATTGTAACCCATGTATTCGAATTTGTGAACCCTTTCATGTTTGCTGCTGTATAGATCTCTAAGGATTACAACAATGTATTTCCTTATAAAGTGAAATGTTCTAAAATAAATTAAATCAAATATTCCTATAAAACCATTTAGTTATTCTGTTTATATGTGTATATTAATTAATTATATATACTTTTCGCTTTTTTTCATTTAGCGTCATTAGATCGTTTAATTTATATTAAAGAGAACATTTCTCTTACTCCTCCGGTATTATTGTATTATTTATCTTATGATTTAATTTTGATTGCATATTTATGGTAGCTAACGAAAGCTAACTCACACTTAACATATAATTTTAATTGCATATTTATAGGGGCGAAAAAATTGCTCAAAAATATCAAAAAAGTAACATAAAATTTACTTTATGATAAATAAAAATTTATTGTCATAAAATAAACTATCAAAATTAAAGTTTTAGTTTATAATCTAAAGAGCTTGGGATGCAGAACCTAACAGATGTAGACAGAGCCC